CCCACGTCGAACCATTCCGAGTACTGCCCGTCGTCCGTTCGGACGCGCGCCCTCATGCCCTCGTGGAAGTGGTGGTATCCTCGTAATCCGCCAGTCGCAGAGGTCGTGAGTTCGAATCCCCATGGCATGAAAAAATTACGAAATGTGCGGGTGAAAGCGAAATATAGCTGACAAACTCTCGTGAGTACCAAACTTCGACGTTAGCACCGTTGACGAGGGAAAGAGACGGCTGGACCCTTCTTGCGATGAAAATAAAATTCAGCACGCACCGCAGGAGGAAGGTGGGGCATGAAAATAAACAAAAAGAAGAAAAAAGCCCCGATGTTTACCCCCCCCTGTGTGATCCTGGATGGTTGCAGTTGTACGAAAAAATACATTGAAAAGTGTAGTACTCTACATACGCTGAAAAGTGTAGTACACGTCTCACCACGAAAAATGGGGGGACTGCTGTTCCCATAATAAATAGGACGAAAACACACATCTATACAGAATCGGGGGCTGCCGTCAGCTTTTGCTACCAACGTTACTGCTGACTCCCATGGGCTCGCTCTTTGCTCGATTATCCCAGCTTCTTCCATTTCACCAACACATTTGTCAATAACCCCTTGCATTCGTGGATTTGCACGATATGGAGCTCTGTTGACTGGTTTTGTTCCTGGTTGCAATGGGAAATCAGCCTCTGTGAGAAAACATTTGCCCGGTTCTTTAAGACTCAGGGAGAATACTGAACGGTATTTGGTACTACACAGTTTAAGTATTTCTTCACACTGGTCGGGCAAAAAGGTAGTATCTCTGAAAGCTTTGGCTAACGCCTTCTTGAGATCTGTACGGATTTTTTCCGTTTCTTCAGGGCTCGCTTGAACGCTGCTCATTGTTTGTGGCAGTACTGTTTTCACTGGAGAAATATAGCCGATAAGTGTATTTCTCTTCAGGGATACCGGTCTGTGAGAAGGGTTGGCCAGTTGTGCCATTGCACTTTTGTTGTGCTTATACCAGTGACAGACTGTGCATGCTACTATCACCCTACGGAATGCATCTGGTGTATCCTGCTTGCCAACGTCATCGGACGTAACGATGCGTGGTTCAACTACGGTAGCTGTGGTTTCATCTGGCGCCTCAAGCGAACGAATTTCGACAGATATTTCATGTTGTGCAGGTATGCTGCATTTCCGTGTAGTGTATACAGGCACTGCAGGCGTGTCCCTCTCTACTGCTACCACAGAACCGTTCATACTGTTTTCCTGATCGGTCGTGGAATAGCGCGTTTTGCGGTGGACTGCTGGAATTTTGGTTATTGATTTAAACGACAATTCTTCCGCTTGCCAATCAAGTACACCACCAAATGCGCCCATCATGATATTGTCGAGTAGCATATTATCAGGTCCCAACGACGGCAGCACTAGAGCTTCAACAGGTAACGTGATTTCTCCTAGTGCAGTTCAAATCGAGTGTACCCTGCAATTTTGAGGGGCGAACCATCGGCGTTGCGCAGATTGATTGCTCCCGGGGGTACTGGAAATATTTCCGTGTTTTCCAACGTTTTGTGACTTCTCATGAACTTCCGTGAAATGCATGGTATGTCACGCCGTGTCGATTGTTATTTCATCAACCGATTCATTGCTTATTCTGGCGGGTACACGTACTCGCTTGGATGTCGATCGCAATACCGATGGACACACGGGATATCCAGCGAGTGCAGACATGTAAAAAGCATGAATTCTTCATTACGGTCAGTTCTCATTAGGTTAGACCTATGTTTCAACCTGAAGTCCCCAGCTACGGTAGCTACGNCGCCGTGTCGATTGTTATTTCATCAACCGATTCATTGCTTATTCTGGCGGGTACACGTACTCGCTTGGATGTCGATCGCAATACCGATGGACACACGGGATATCCAGCGAGTGCAGACATGTAAAAAGCATGAATTCTTCATTACGGTCAGTTCTCATTAGGTTAGACCTATGTTTCAACCTGAAGTCCCCAGCTACGGTAGCTACGTGCAAGGCTTGCGGCGCTAAAAAGGCGGCTACTTTGCCTTACTTGGGTGCTATCCCCTAGTGCTGGATCTACAGCGGCTACTGCATCAATTGTGCGGGTACTTGACTTCGGGACTCCTCGCGTTTGCTTGCTGCTACAACCTTCGCGAGAATGTTCCCATGGTACATGTACTCCAACTATCTTTCTACAGCGCTGCTCTTTGACTGCTTTTCTTGTTGTTCCCACCAGAGATCGTACACCATTGTTACAGGGTTTTGAATCCCTCTCATCTACTCTGGCTCTCTTCTGCTTGCTCGTGTTTTGCAGTCTATCCCAGTTTGTACGTACTAGTTTGACAAAACCAAATGATTGGTGTCCCACGTTGGCCGAGGGATGCTGCCTACTCGGNCCCATGGTACATGTACTCCAACTATCTTTCTACAGCGCTGCTCTTTGACTGCTTTTCTTGTTGTTCCCACCAGAGATCGTACACCATTGTTACAGGGTTTTGAATCCCTCTCATCTACTCTGGCTCTCTTCTGCTTGCTCGTGTTTTGCAGTCTATCCCAGTTTGTACGTACTAGTTTGACAAAACCAAATGATTGGTGTCCCACGTTGGCCGAGGGATGCTGCCTACTCGGGCGACCCTAGTTCTTCGTAAACGTGTACCCCTCATTTTTAGCGGCTTGTTCGTTTTTGCACTCCGCGCGAGTGTGCATAAGGCGAATGCTACTGAAACGACAACCAATAAAGTCACATTCCTTCTTATGTTTCGCGGTGTCGGGCTTGGCAGTACCAGCGAAGGATACTTTCGCCTTCGCCCGCGCGGGAGGACCCTGGGATTTGGAATTATCTTTATTATCACGTTTGTCGGTCCCCCGCTGAGCACGCCCACCGCGTTGCGCGCCGTATGCTCCACCACTGGACACAAACGCTTCCTGCCCTGAAATATAGTTTCCAATGGCAGTGATGCGGTCCTTGTTGTCGTCCGCAGTACTTTGGAGCTTTTGGATGTCTTCCTGGTGAGCGGCTCCCGGCATAAGCATGCTAAGGACCCATGCCGGCGGGGCCTTCGCCGCCTCCACTGCCTTTGAGACCGCGCTGACGAGAACGGCCTCCAGCGGCCCGCCGCTTGCCAGGAGCGGTGCACTCTGCTGACTGGCGGCGTCGGCGCGGTTCTGCAGGATGTCGTGTGCAAGGTCGTCGTCGGCGTTGTCGTCATCGTCATCGTCGTCGTCAGGGGATGGGTCGGTGTCGAGGGTTTGGGTACCAGCCTTGGCGCCGTCGCGAGCGCTGCTGTTGTTGTCGCTGTCGCGATCGTCACCGACCAGGGCGTGGAAATATCCGCGATGGTGACTGCTCTGCGAGGGTGCTACGCTCGCAGCCGCACCGGCGGATTCCCCAGCTTGGGCAGGATTCGGTTGTCCCTCTTGGGGCTTAGCCGAGCCGTAGTTCGTGGTGGCAGCAGCGTCGGGACGCGGCGTTGCTGGCGGTTTAGGCGTCAGCTGCTTAAGCTTTTTCGCTGTTGCTGCTGTTGTTGCGACCCTCCGCCCTTTTTTCTTCCCCTGCTTCCATAAATTGGAGCCCATGTTTCACACGTGGGTTGCATAGATAGAACACTTCGTCGAACGCCAATATGGAAGCCCTCTACTCTGGGTGAGCGGAGAGTCCGGGGTTGTGGTGGCTATGTCCTGCCACCGGAGGTTGGCTCTTTCCTATGGTGCAATGTGGCGAGGAATGCCAAGCGTGACCGAGCGAACTCAGTCAAGCTAGGGTGGTACGGAGAGTGGGCGAGCCTTCGTGGACCCATTTTCCCATTCTCCTAAAGATCCATCAACTCTTCGCAGCCGTTGAGGGTCATGACCCTCGGAGAACAGTAATCTATGATCACATATTCCCTCAGATCCTACCCTTTATGTACGTGTATCTGTGCTCCCTGAATCTCCATATCCTGACCTCCACAATATTGGCGATGTGAGATTCCCAAAAAACTGCTACCGCTACTATTTTTTGTATTGAGGGCAGCGTCCTTAGCTGCAACAGGTATTATCTAGTGGTACATAAAATGCCACGATGCATATCGCGTTGAGATTGTGACGAGAGATTTTTTTGAGATTTTGATGCCACTACACCGGCAGTTCCACTACTGCTGTTCAAGTTGCCACTATATCGAGCTGCTTATTGCTGTACAGCAGTACCTGGTACATGTAGACACCGTCGTATGTAGATAGCACAGCTTTTATGCTATTGGACAATATAATACTAGTAGTAGAGTATGCTGTAGTAGATGATAGGATAGTAGGAACAGCAGTCCCTCCGCGCAAAACTTCACCAACAGCAGTCTCACCCTTACTCTCACCCACACACACCTTCCTCGAATTACCATGGGTTTTCTTTCCCAAAACGTCTCGGCGAAGACTTGCAGCGAGATGGGGTCCATGAGCTCTCGTACCAGGGTGACAGATGTCTCAGGCACCGGCGGATGCACCATGGGCAGCAGTTGGGTTATTGCGGAAGGAGAGCATTCTTGCAGCTCCAGGTGCTCCTCGCCGCCCGCTACTTGCACAGCAACAGCAGTGGCTAAAATCAAGAGGAAGCCGATGAATCCCATGGTGAGCGCAAGGGTCCTCCACAACCCTCGAAAAAGCTGGTACGGAAGTAGGTAGGTGTGGAAGGTTTACGTTCAGTCTGTAGCTGCTTGTCTGCTTGTAGCTCCTTGCAGCTCTTCAGCACAATGGTTGATTGGTGAAACTTGGAGGTTCCGCCGCATTCCGGAGTTCAAATTTAGGAAGGCATGTCCATCCCATGGAGACGACGGTACGACGGTTGGTCCATCCTTGAGAGCGTGGTCAACAACCAACACCAAGGCAGCTTCCTTCGACACACAATATGCTGTATCTAAACTTACCTGTCGTGTGGGGTCATGGACAACTTTGTGGGAAATCATCAACCATCACAAGCAAGGGTAGAGGTCAGGGTTCATCCAAATCATTAGATTAGTCACCGGTAAAAACCCGTTATATTTCCCGACGAGGGGCAGCTACTGCTACATACAGCTGTAGTTTATTTCTGCTGCTCTCCTCGTTTGCATAGTAATTAAAGTTCTGTCGACTCCCCGGCTAGGTTCATCTGCACCAACGTAGCTATATCTCGGACCCCAATTCAATCCGTTACGAAATCAACCATGCATGTAGACCATGTGTGTAGACTATTGAGCAAGTTTCATGAATCGATAATATGTTGGTCTCGTGGTCCTACTACAGCAGCAGTTCATGTACTACCGCTCTGTGCTGTAGTCTACTGCTGTAATTAAAATCACTGCTGCTAGTCGGTACGACCGTGAGACCGTGTCTAAGGTTAGACATGTGTACATGTGCATCGTAATTCGTCGCTCATGTCCGTTGCACAAAAAAAAAAAAGTTCGTCTGCATGAAATTCTACTTGTGATGCGCAGCATTGCAGTAGTACGCGTGTTGTAGGTTGGTTGATGGCAGTAGTTTGGACGTATCCATATTGTGTGCCTGCGCGTCTTTAGGTATATACTGCTGTAACGCAACCCAAAACACTTCCATGGAATGATGAATTGGCTGATGTGTGTGTTGCAGGATTATCATCCTGAGGCAGGTGCTTTTATTTGCTGGTTGGTGCGCGCTGATCTTACGACGGCCAGACTCAACTCAACGGCATGTCGAGTGGTTTCGAAACGCTTCGTTTGGGCAAGAGGCCTTCACCCCCCTCCGGCTCGGATGGGGGCCCCGAAACCAGGAGAAGAAGTGCGTCTACTCCTGCGACAGAGTTAAATTGTTAAATTGAAAGCGTGTCCTGTTGTTTCGTGGGCTATGTATTTTTAATCTCAACTGTGTTGACGCCAGATCAACGGCCGCTGTCGCATCACGCGAGTTTCCCCTTCGCTACTGCACCCTTCTTGTTTTGTTCAAACACGGATGGATAAGAACATCACGTTGGAGATTTGTACATTGGACAAGAAGCTGGGATGGCTTTCAATCTCGAGCAGCAACAGCTGGCGTGGGCTCCGAAGTATTGAGTGCTCCTCCCGTCCCCTCCCTTCTCTCTACCGCCGAACAGGTGCCGCAAACAAAAGCTATTATACTTCCGGGCCTTGCGCTTTCGACATCGCAAGAATATGTCCCCCGAATTCGCCACCTGGAATGCCGCGGACCTGGTATCCCGGCTTCCTCTGATCGTGCACCTTCTACACCACGAGCGAGGTTGCGTCACGAAGCGGTGCTTCGGGCCGCAGCTCGTTCGAGACGCCAGGATTTGGCTGGATGGGTCCAAGTACAGACACAACGTTTGCATAGACGTGTCTCTGCACTAAGCATCAGGAATGCTGACCTTCCTGGCCATGTATTTAGCTATGTATGCATTTGTATGTTCGTTTTATCAGGATACGGACTAGAATGCCCATGAACGCCCTGTCTATCGAATAGGTTGCTGTGCAACTGGCTGCATGTCGAACTTGTGATGGATGATTGTACCCTTCTTTCTCGGGTGCTCGTAGCAACCGGCGACCCTGCGCTGCATCCTGCTCCTCATCACGTTCTTTTCTGCGCTCAACAGACGCACGCCAAGAGGTTCGGGTTTGAGTCGAAGATGCTAGACCGGAGAGCAGCTTTCATCATTCACTCCTACAGCTACGGCGGGTTCTCCGGCGGCCTGCTTGAGGATTTGCTGATCGGATGGTTCGCTGGAAAAAACGCAGACGGGGGGTTGTTCTTGCAGACACACAGCCAAGGGGCCAACGTTAAGGTACAAAGCCTCGGTGTCAAGGAACATGTTCCTTTGGCCTTACCGAAGAAGATTATTCACACCGCATCGAAGATTATCCACACCGCATAGCATCGCATCATGGGTGATAGTGTGATGCAGCATATGATTCAGCACTTCGGAGTCCAACAAAGGTTGACCATGAGCGTGGGTGGGCGTCACGAAGATCGACTGAGATGTTGTTTCACATTCATCAGTGTGAGGCGCGGAACTCCGGACAACTCTACTGTAGCCTCGACCATCCGTTCCGGCAAGGTTATGGTTTCAACAGAGGGATGGTGGGTCGGTAGGATGGGGTGCCGCCGGCGGTGATTGGTTTGGATGTTAAGGAGGTGCTCGGTCCTCTATTTACCGCTCGTATATCCAACTTCACACTCGACCTCACACATCACTCTGTCGTTACAGCTGTTTTCAATTTCACACTCGGTCACACACCGCTGTGTTGTTACAGCTGTCTTCAAGTTCGCATACGGCTCTGCACTCCCCTAGCGAAGGTCTTAAGGCTTACTGTGCCCTTGAGTAGCGCTTGTACTTGCGGTTGAGTGGCGCTTGGTGTGTTACGCTGTCGTTGTGCCTCTCTCCTGCCCGTGGTCCAGAGGTGCATCAGCAACCCAGACATTGCTTGTCGTGGGGATGTGTCCAGTGCTACTATCAACGGCAAGAGCGTCGACGACCATGTAGCTCTCACGAGGCGGCGTGTTACCCGCTGGAAGGACGATACCGTATGTAGAATTTGGGGTACTCAGGCAGACTGGCAGGCGAACCAACTGATCCCGGGGGGCTCGTAACGCAACCGGCTTAACAAAAGCCTTTCTGGTTGTAATACTCTAGTAGCGATACCATATGATAAGATGACGTCTAAACGCACCTTCTCCTCCTTTCCCGGCTGTAATATGCTTGTAGCGATACCATATGATATGATGACGTCTAAACGCACCTTCCTCCTTTCTCGGCTGCAATATGCTTGTAGCGATACCATATGATAAGATTACGTCTAAACGCACCTGCTCCTTGTTGGCTTCTCCGGCTCTTGGTTGAACTGGACGGCAGCTTCTAGGGGTGATGGGAACGATGCGGCCGTGCGAGGGCGTAAGCTTACAGCACCTGGTAGAGCGACGGTTTGACCGTCGAGGTCGCACGTGGCTTCCACATTGCCGTCCATCAAGCGATGCTTACCCTCGAGGCGTCCCCCGACATGTCGTTCGGAGATGCCGGAGGTCGTTGGGGACGCGCTGCGGTTAAAGGTTGCTTGGCGGGGCCTTCCGGTTTTTCTGGAGTCTCGGGCCTGGTAGGGAGCATTTACGTGCTTTGGTCCAAACCTGTGGGGGGCTGGCCAGTCGCTACCACAGGTCGGGAGCTGTAGCTCGGTGTGGAGGGTGCAGGGAAGTTTTTCGCGAAGGGGTTCTGAAGAGGTTGGCTCAGGCGGCGAAGCGGGTACCACACCCGTGCACCAGCAACAAGGACATGACCTCCGCGCAATAGGTGTGTAGCCTTGTGGCCTGCAAGTTGTTGACTGTCAGTGAATCAAGGGTCGTCAGGTGCGCTGTGGTCATGGCACACACGTGTCATCCACTGTGCTTTCCACCTCTCTCTCACGCTCTCAATGGTCGCCTGTCTTTGTGTATGTCCCCCCCCCCCCCCCCC